TATATATATATATAATGTTATTTTAATCAGCTAATTGAGATCAGTATCTGTTTTTGAGATCTGAGTACAGAGGAAGGATTACGTATCGAGATAATACTACATTTATTTGTCAAATCTGTCTTGTCAAAGCAATAAGATTCTATTTATTATTAATAGTAAACTTTATTTATTAACACCTTTCTTAATGTTACAAAGTAATGTTTGATACATAATAAATAAATGTGGTGGCATAACTCCATCTGCATCTGCTCCACTTTTACATTTTGATTTAATAAATAAAAACCTGCCAAACGTAACAGTCTTAATAAAGCAAATAATCCAATTTACCTAAAATGTTGAACTCTTCCTTTAAGCTTTGTGAGCACCAACATCTTCTTCTTCAGCATTAAACCTTCTCGCTTGTTTTATGTATATAATTAAACTTTTTATTTGTGCAGTTTCTGATTCGAGATGTAAATCTACTGTAGCTTTGTCTCCGTTTTCTATCACTAAAACCAGATGTTATAAAATAAAAATACAGAAATATAAACCACATTATTCATTATAATAAAAACCGAACACACACCGTTAATCTGACGCTATTAACTCTGAATCTCTCACAATACAACAATAACTGCTTATTTATAAGTTTAATATACTTTAATTGATTATAATAATATATAATTATTATAAAGAACCCTCGTTTCTTTCCTTCCAGGCCTTCGTAAAGTGATGGTTCGAGCCCACCGGCAGGCGTGGTGCTGGCAGGACGAGTGGTACGGTCTGACCATCGAGGACATCAGGCTGCTGGAGCTGGAGACCCAGCTCGCCTTAGCTAAGAAGATGGCCCAGTACAGCCTCAGTGAAGAGGGGGGAACGGAGGCCAACGGCTCCTCCGCTAACCAGGACCAGGAGCAGGGAGCTGAGACTGTGGGATCGGCTACAGAGGCAGAAGGAGGAGGAGGAGGAGGAGGAGGAAAGCTGGGAGATTCACTGGAGACACGAGGGGAGCTCACCAAGCAGTGGTCGACATCCTCCAGATCCTCCAACAGGTCCTCTAAGAGAGGCGGTGAGGAGCCGTTTTATACCTCCTTTATTCACCAGACACAGTTTATTACTCCTCAGATCATCGTTCTCTGTGTGTTTGCAGGGAGTCCGTCTCACCAGAACATTTCAGAGTGGAGGATGCAGAGCATCGCCCGAGACTCGGAGGACAGTACTGACGATGAGTTCTTTGACGCTTATGGTAAAATCATCAGTTTGTGCATTATACGTAATAAACTTACAGTAACATACAGACATAATCTGAACAAAACTAAGAGTGGAAAACAAACAAAAACGAGATAAACAAATACAAAAATACATGTAAAAATAATAATCATCTGAAATATATAGTTTGTAATTTACAGTTTATACAAAAGGGGAGGAAAAAACAAACAAAATACAAAACATTTTACACACATCCAGCACATTTTCAGATCATCTGTGGGACCTTTTTAAAAGTCTATCAGTACTTTTATAGCTTCTTACTAAAATAAGAAGTTTAGTTTGAAGAAGGCGAAATCTTCACACAGGAAGGTTTAATGAGGTAAAAGGAGTAGATGTATTTTACTTTTTTTGCATTATTACATTATTGTTCCAAGCAGACTGTTTGGGTATGTGTCCTAATACAGGAGGGGATCTTTAAAAAATCAGCTGTATACGGCTGCGTTCAGGCCTCATTTACTTTGATTGAGGTCAGCACAGCGACTCTGGCCAGAGAGTTGAACTGAATGCAGCGTCATTGGGGAAAACGTGCTCCCACCAACGCAGTGTCTTTTTAATGCAGGCTGCCACACACTCGCTGTGGCATAAATATCCTGAGGAATAAATACGGCCTTTGTGGCAGGAGGTTTTAAATCGTGGAGACGTTTCCTCGGAGGCTATTCCACAGTCTAGAGGCCATGACGGCAAAGATTTGATCCGCTTGGCTTTTTTCAGCCTTCGAGAAGTGGAACCTGCTTTAGGATCTCAGAGACCTGGAGGAGGTTGGAGGTTTCAGACGGGGTCCAGCGAGGGTGGAAGGAAGCTAGAGTTTCACAGTTCTTATTCTCTGATGTGATAGTCGCCTTCCACCAACTTCACCAGTTATAAGCAGCTTCAGTCTGTGTTGAGACAGCCAGTCAAAAGGTTGGACATCGTCTCAATATGTGGGACGTGAGACAAGACATAAAAACTGCTGTCCACTCCCATAAAGTACATAAAGGGGGACACCTGGTCTCCCCAGATCCAAGTCTCTGAGCGCCTTAAAACAAAGAGTCTTCTTTAAATTCTGGTTTGTGTTATGAGAAGTTTCTGTATTCGAGGTCTTCTGTGTGTCTTACAGAAGACTTCTCTGACAACGAGGAGATGTTTGCCAAGGAGATCACCAAGTGGAACTCCAATGATCTGATGGACAAGATAGAAACAATAGAGGTGGATGAAGCACAAGGTAGGTTGGGTTCATGTTCCTATAGGCAGCCATGAGGGTTGGGCAATATGCAAGAAGCTCTCATAACCTTAATATACGAAATAAACTCACAACAGGTCAAGAAAGGGAAAGAAAAACACCTATTTTCTTCAGTTTCTCTCTTTTACCGAACTAAGATCAGCTTAATGGCCTTGTTAAAGAGTAATTAAACCACAAGAACACAGCTAAAAACCTCTGTCTATGCATATTTACTAGTGTTGTTGATTGATTCAGGTCCCAATCTGGAGATTTGAATGCAAAGTATTTGAATTCTACATATTTCTTCTATAAAAATTCAAACCTCTGCTGGTTGAAACTCTAGGCTATTGCATCCAGGTGACGTATGTGGTGGCAGCTTTCGTCACCAACCAACCAGTGGCCTGCTACGTAGCTGTTAATCTGACAGTCTTCTATCAAGACAAAACCGTCTTTCCACTGTTCCAACAATCAGCAAATATTCTGGCACTACTCGCCGTCGCCGCCTCTCTGATGCCCGGCCTTGCCTCTCGCTCCACTACCCGCTTCAGGCTGTCCCAAGTCTTGGTTGGGGCCTCTGTTAACCACCTTTTTATGTCATCAAACTAGTTGAAATAAAACCTTAATTCACCGCAGTTAGAAGTGAAGATACACTGGCTCTGCAAACAATTAAATGAGCAAAATAAAATGACAAAAATTGCCCAAAAACTGGCCAAAAATCGCCCAAAACAGCCAGCGATGGACTCGCTGAAACACCCAACTCTAGCCCCTCTATAGTCACATCAGATCCTGTTACTCTGATCAGTTAAAAACAGGACAAAGGGCCTCACATTTATAGCTTTAAGTCGTCTTTTCTTTCCTTTAAATGCCCGTGAATGAGTGAATGAATTGTGTTTTCACAGAGACGTTGTATCAGGAGTCGGGCGGAGAGTATGCTGTGATGAGTAATGAGGAGAGGCAGCAGATGGAGGTACAGTTTTTCTTCAATTTTTCCAATTTCATTCATGTCTCTCACACTTACACCCAATAATTAAATGGCTTGTAGATAATACTCCTCCTCCTAAATTAGCTTTCAGTCATCCTGCCAGCGTAGTGAAATTAGTCTCTGCTGCAGCCGTCAGCCCGGTTGTGTTTCACCAGAGGTAGAAGATTAGGGGCTCTATTTTTGTGGCTGTGCAGTGTCTAATGGTTCTTTTGTATTATGGTTCCAGCTAATGATTATTTATTTTCATTATCCCTTTCATCTGATTAAAATGTCAGAAAATAGTGAAAAACACCTGCAGTACCACAAATTCTCTGGAGCCTTTATGTTTGATTGCTTTATTTTGCCTGACCCACAATCCAAAAACCCCTAAAAATATTCAGTTTATAAACATTTAAGACATACAAATTAGTATTTATTTTTATTTGTATGACTTTATTTTGTGTTACAAGTAACATAAAGGGAACTATATATGAATTCCATTACACAACTCTGCATTGTAAATCCTTGAATCCTTGAAATCCTCACATTTTAAAGCATTTCAGAACTGTTTATGATTCATTTACTGTCATTCAACTAATCTATTACTTGACTAATTGTTTTAGTATTTTGCATGTTGCTCATCTGTCTCCCTCCGTCCTCCCTCTTCTTGCAGGATTGTTCGTCTCAGCAGTGTCTCCAACCGTCCAAAATCCACGTCCTCGTTCTGGTCCTGCATGGAGGCAACATTCTGGACACTGGCTCTGGTACAGCGGCTGTGTAATGTGAAAGAAGTTGCTTGTAGTGACAGAGAATCACACTCACAGTCTTTTCCTGCAGCAGGCAGTGGATATGCATCAATACCTGTAGATTTTAATCATAAAACTACTCTGATACTGCGCCCAGTACCCACACCACTGCAGCGTGATGTTATGTAACCTCTCATTAATTGAGCAGGTAGGTAGGAGGAGATGCAATGTCAGCAGTTTGGAGATATTTTAAGCAACTTTTTACAGCAACATAAGCAACATTTAATCTGTTACAGCTGCAGTGGTGTTATTAAGTCCACTTATCGTATTGGCCAAAAACCCACTGTACACTTCCTAAACAACAGAGATTAGCTGGTGAACATAGTGGAGAATTTAACTATAAGTATGTAAGTAAGTAAAATGTATTTTCAGTCACACACATAAGTCAAAGTACTTTACAGAGGCAATATACAACAAAGGAGGCACAATGCACAATAGAATAAAGCAGTGTATAAATATATATATACATACAGAACATACAAAATATATATACATGCATAAATATACACATTCATGCAAAAAACACAATAAAAAGTACACCATAAAAACATGAAATGCAGACGTGAGTGTGTCTTCTACTCTACTTCTAGCTTCTCAGGAGTCGGTAGAGATCAAAAACTAACAACAAGTTCGTCATATTTAAGGTCCAGTGTGTCACATTTAGAAGGATCTATTGGCAGAAATGTAATATAATATTCACTAGGTATGTTTTATATGTGTATAATCACCTGAATGTAGGATTTGTAGTGTTATCTTTACCTTAGAAAGAGCTGTTTTTATCTGTACAGTTCATCACTTGGAAGGCTGGTAGATGCCACTTAATCCTAAACACACTGGTCCTTTTAAAAAGGTGTCGATATTTCAATGTGTACAGTTTGTTTCTGCTGCGTCCAAGTGGCCGAAAAATGAAAGTTATTGCAGGTTTTAAATCACAAATCTTGAGAATGAGACACTATTGATCTTTTTACTAGAAAACAAATCATTAGAGCTCTAAACTGGAGCATGAGTTCCCTCGAGCCTTTTCTCAACGTGGTCACAAGACGGTGTGAAGAAGAAACATTCTGCATTTTGGTTTTATTTTTTTATTTTTATCTTTGCTTTGCAGATGTAACAGATATTTCTTGCAGCGATCAGATAATTTATTATAACAAAATACTTGTAAGCACTGATCTACGGTTCTATCTGACAATATGTGACTCTCCTCTCTGCAGGTGAGCAGAACAGCAAGCAGGGAGATGGAAACACGCTGAGTGGGGCGTTTGAGACCGTGATGAGGGTCCACTACCCCGCAGCGCTGGGCCGCATCGCCATCCGGATGGTCCCCTGTCCCGCTGTGTGTGTCGACGCATTCTCGCTGGTCTCCAAGTGAGCAATCCTCTTGAGCATTTGAATAATCTGCTGTGATACATGCATCTACCCCCCGCTGTTCAAATGTTAAACACACATAAAGGCCGACAGTAACGTCCTCTCTGCTCTGCAGTTTGAGCCCCTACAGCTACGACGAGGGCTGCCTGTCCAGCAGTCAGGACCACATCCCTCTGGCTGCTCTGCCCCTTTTGGCTACCTCCGCGCCACAGTACCAGGACGCCGTCGCAACCGTCATCTTACGAGCCAATCAAGTGTACAGCGACTTCATCAGGTCTTTAGAGGGAGCGTCTTTTAATGGCCAGGTCGGTGTGTAACCGAAGGTGCTTCAGATCTGCCTCCGTGTTTCTCCTCAGGGGCTCGGTGTGTCTTTATGTGTTCGTGCTTTGTTGTCTAACGCAGGTGTGTGTCATTGGGGACTGCGTTGGGGGCATCCTGGGGTTTGATGCTCTGTGCAGCAGCTCTGTGACGGTGTCAGAAAGCCAAAACAGCAGCAGGCGGGGGAGCACCATCAGTGTACAGGTATCAACTCTCTGACATCAAACAAGACTACGTTAGAGGCTCTGTGAGTGCTAACCACACATGCATTGACTGACTTCTCTTCTGTCTCTCAGGACACGGACCTTCTCTCTCCGGGTATTGTCATAAACAGCGTCTCTCCTTCCTCGCCGTCCCTCGAAGGAAGCCGCCATCTCAGCCGTAGCAACATCGACATCCCTCGTTGTTCAGGGCCCGACGACCCCAAGAGACAACTCCCGCGCAAGCGCAGCGACTCCTCCACGTATGAGCTGGACACCATCAAACATCACCAAGCCTTCCTGTCCAGGTGAGACACGAACGTCTCAAACTCCCTGATTTCTGAAGTCCTCTAAGCATCTTGAGGCTGCAGCTGCATCTCTGTCTGATAACATCAGATAAATTTACTGTCAGACACAGCACGTTACTGAGTGTTAGATGCTTCTTATTGATGCAAATTCAACAAGTCAAACAGCTAAATTAAGAGATTCTTTGGGCGGTGGAGGAAATGAGCTACGGTGTATGAGTCTGCAGATGCACGCAGGTCGTTAAATGTGTCTGTCTTTCACAATATTGTTTTGTTTTTAATCATCGATGGAAAAGGTTACATTCTGTCATTGTTCTTGCTGTCAAAGGTTACTTTTTATTTAGTTTTGGTGTCATTTTTTAATGAAAGAACGGTAGTCAATTAATATTTGTACTCAAGTACTTAGGTACAGTTTTGAGGTACTTGTAATTTACTTGAGTTTATCTATTTTATGCTACTTTATACTTGTACTCCACTACATTTTGGAGGCAAAAAACTTTGGTTACTTTGCAGATTCAGATTATTAATATAAACCAATGTATTAATTATGATATATTATCCTAGATTAAGCTACCCAGCAGATAATAAAGATTAGTTCCACCTTTACCAGCTGCAACAATAACAATAAAGACCCCCAGGTTGGGAACCTTTGGTAAAGACAGAAACATTGTTAATAAATAATGTTCTTTCTGCGGTAAGCGAGACAGTGTGGGAATTCGGGACTTTCAGGAAGCGCTAACCCTTTTACTGAAATAAAAGATGTGAGTGTTTCCTCCGCCACCACTGACTCTGTGAATGTTTCCTCTGTCATCAGCCTTCACTCCAGCGTGCTCCACGGGGAGACTGGATCCCGACGCTCCAGCAACAGCACCATGCTGGAAGGAGGCTCCTTGGGAAAGTTCGACTTCGAGGTGACTGACTTCTTCCTGTTCGGCTCTCCTCTGGGGTTGGTGCTCGCGCTGAGGAAGACTGTGGTTCCCTCGTTAGATGGTGAGGAAGGTTTTCTCCTCTTTAGTGCACCTTTTGGTTTTATTATGTTCATCCAGTAAATACTGTCGCTTTTAAAACAACGATAATTTTCCTTTTTCCAGAAGAGCAGGAAGTGGTTATTTGTTTTATGTCCAGCGTGAGATACACGTCTCCCGCAGCTGGAAAGCAGGTGTCAGGGGTCAGAGATCATGTCTCTGATCTCAAAGAAAAACTTTTGGCTGAGACGAAACAGATACGTGATTGAAGTCTCACACAGGCACGAATCTGACTGCGCTGTGCGTCCTTCGGGGTTTAAGGACGAGAGGTTGTTGACCTGCAGCTGTTGGGTTAACATCTGGACTAATTTCCAATCAGACGGGATTATAGTCATTCGCAGAAAGTTTCTCTTTTCATTCCCTCGTTTTGTCGGGCATTTATTTATTCTGTTTTGAGTGATTGGGGTTTATTTTGCTCCATAAATAATCACAAAGGCAATTACTTACGAACAAAATAATACTGAAGGAAACACAAAAAACATGTCAGAATGCAGGCTGTAGCTAAAGCTTATTGTCGTCTGCTCTCGCCAGATATTTCCCCTAGGAGCTGGTAGAAACCAAAAACACAGCTAAAAGAAAGAAAGAGAGAGAAAACTGCACTCACATTCAGCAGGTGGACACAAAACACGACTACAGATGAATGCTAATGTTTCTCTGTAACTGCTCGGTGTGTAAACACTGCAAGAAACAAGCCAAATATTCCTGAATATAATCACAATTTCTTGTATTAAGCAAAACAATCTGGGGTCAGATGGCTATAATTCTTAAAACTAGCATAAAATATAAATATCAAAAGGTCTAATACTGGGTTTGTATGTGTATTTGCTATACGGATGTCATAAGACAGCAGTCAGTTTCAATTCCCTCATATGAGCATATAGGGAAGTGATCCCTACTTGATGCTGTGTTGGTTTCTCTTTGTATGCCTCTCTCTGTTTCTTGGACTGTGGGACTAACGAAGAGTAACCTTTAATACATAATACAATAGAACATCTAGCCACTGAAAGACTGTAATAGGCCTTAAAACTAGGAAGAAATTAGTGTCAATGTAATGTAAAATGTAAGCATGTTGTTATTTAAGATTCTTAAAATAAGTATTTTGGTCACTTTATTGATATAATAATAATTATATATGATATAATAATTTTTAAATGTTGACCTTAATCTAAGATTAATAGTTGGCCGAGAAATCTTACAATAAGACACAATTTCTTTAAACAGCTGAATAAAAATAAGTGACTTTATCTTAAATGAATCCAGTATCGATCTTGTTTTACTATCAGGAGGAAAGTGAAAATGTCAGACTATTCCTTCTAATACCAACTGGTTACAGGTGCAACAGAGAGTTATTCTTTAAATAAACAGTTGCTCAGTTGGTTCATGTATCATCCCACACTTTTTTTAGTCTCTCACTGTGTTGTCTTCCTCGTCTCCAGTGTCGGCACTGCGTCCGGCCTGTCAGCAGGTTTACAACCTGTTTCATCCAGCCGACCCCTCGGCCTCGCGCCTCGAGCCTCTCCTGGACAAGCGGTTCCACCTGCTGCCTCCCTTCAGTGTCCCTCGTTACCAGCGCTTTCCTCTGGGTGACGGACACTCAGCTCTCTTGGGTGAGTCCACACGAAGTCACTGCAGCTTTACGTCCTCCGTACTGTGCCACAGGTAGATGAGTCTGTGTTGTTTATGTGTCAGCTTGTGTCTCTTTCTCCTGGCTTCCTAGTTGAGACCGTGCAGAGTAACCCTCAGCTTCTGATTGAGTCCGGTGGTGCGCCGTCCCACCGCTCCCAGGATAACACCGTCAATGAGACCTCGATCCCCGTCCCCGTCCTCAACTGGCAGTCCTCGCAACTCCACACAGACAGTGTGTATCTGTTAGCATATTATATACTTTATATTAGCTTATTTGATCATTTATATCCATTATAAAAACATTGTGTTACTATTTTATTACCAGAACACACACATCTTAAGGCTTAGTCTTCATTTTGATCTGAACTACACACCTGAAAATTACAAATACACAAATACAAATACACATGTTGCTTTGATAACACTAACACAGACTCACAAGGTGAAAACAATACCGGCCATATGCTGTTGCGGCTGGTAACAATTAGTAGCCTGGCTCTGTCCAAAGGTAACAGAATCCACCGATGTACTTCACAGCTAAAGCTCGCTAATTAGTGCCTGGCAACCTCACGGTGACAGCGAGACTCTAGGAAGTCCCTGTGCCCAGTCGAGAAATAGTCCCATGAGTGGTAGCTCACCTGGTAGAGCTGCCCCCCTTTTGTACCAAGGCCGAGTCCCTCTTGCAGCAGCCATGAGTTTGAATCCCTTCCCCCTTTCCTCTTTATTTTGAGCTGTTGTGTCAAATAAAGGCAACAATACCCCCAAAATATACATATAGAAAGAAGTATAAACCCCCGTAAAAGGTGCTGGTAGACAGATGTTGTTCCCTTTGGACAGAGCCGAGCTAACAGTAGACATGAGGTATGATATGATTTGCAGATCTAGATACAGCTTTAGGTCCTTTTTGCTTGTGCAGTGACTAATTTGACTCCTCTCTTCTCTCTCTGCAGCGGATTCTCTTCACTCACATATTTTTGTGGACGGCCAGTACCCGTCGTCCACATCGCCGGGAGTCCCTCACCTTCGTTTCAACCGCAGGGCGAGCGAGGCCAGCATCGCCAGCCAGGTGTCTGGCTTAGCCGACTCTTACACGGCCTCCAACATCGCCACGAGTAAGTCTGTAAACCTCCTGCGTCCGACCCACGTTTTACCCCACAAGCTGACAATTTACATGCTGACGCTCTCGTTTCCTCCCTCCAAACACCCCCTCAGCACACACACACGAGGTCAGCCACACTAAAAGGCCCAGGCTGCTGTCCCAGCTGGCTCTTCCCTACAATAGATTTGCCTCTCGGAGCCAGTCCTTGCGGTCACGCCAGAAAACCCGCCAGGTGTTCCCGAAACCCAACGGCGTGGAGTCTGAGCAGAGCTCGGACGTTAGCTCTGACATGACCTCTGACCTCACCGATGTCACGTCTTACGTCACAGACATCAGCTCGGCGCCCCCGTCGCCCAGGGTGCTGAGGAACATAGAGAAAGGTACCCTGGGAGTTGTAGTAAGAGGACATGAGGGAAGGATGCTAGGCTCCGTCCTCATTCCCTGTGTGCTTTCCTTCCTCCTCTGGTATCTTCCTCTCTCAGATAGTCTTCCTCAGTAGCTTCCTGAAATCACATACGAGCGACTTCTCTGAAGCTCAGATCCTGTGCTTTCCTTTGCAACACTGACAGAAAAAACAAAGTTCTCACAGAGTCTGAGCTGTTGTTTTCTTCCGAGTGTGACGTCTTTACAACTCGTCTGTCTGTTTTTATCAATAGCTCGGCGTCTAGTGCCTCTTAGTGCAACCCTGAACTGTTCATCTCCAGATGGGCAGACTGTAGATCTAAAGTGGAAACCACAATCACAGATCAACTGGATGCACTGATTCCTAAACTCTGTTCTCTCTCCTTTTTTTTGCGTCTTGTCCTTTTTCCCTCCCCCTCCCCGCTGCAGTTGCCTCTCGGTGGTGGGGCAGTAAGAGGATGGACTACGCCCTGTACTGTCCCGATGCCCTGACAGCGTTTCCCACAGTGGCTCTGCCTCATCTCTTCCACGCCTCCTACTGGGAGTCAACAGACGTCGTCTCCTTCTTACTCAGACAGGTTCAGAGATCTATTATTAATATATTATAAGAATTTAATTTCGTTTTATCTTTAAATTGAAAGTGTATTTTTAGCCATGCTAGCAGCTGTAAGGATGGGGAACCAGCACGTTGGACTGGAATATCTCAACAACTAGTGGTTAATTTGGTACAGATATGTGTATCTATGGCGCCCAGAGGATGAATCGCATCAACTTTAATGATCCTCTGAGTTTTCAGGTCTCTAACCAGGTCACATAGTTTATTTAAAAATTTTAAATTTAAGGTTCATCGATCTAAACTTTCCTTTATCCAGTAAAATATCTCAACATCTGCAAGATGGATTGAATCCTACTGACTTTAGTTAACTTTAGCACCACCCAATATCTTAACTGTTGGATGGATTGCCATGAAATTAGATTGACATGTTTATGCTCAGGATAAATTGTAATGACTTTGGTTTCTGACTCATTACCTGCAAAGCTAATGACATTCCCATCAGCCTTAGCTGTACTTTGCTGAGGTAAGCAGACGCTGTGCAGCATGCAGATCAGGAGGACTCTGAGATCCTTTCTGGGTTATTTATTTAAAAGTAATTATCTTCCGTAGGTGATGAGACACGAGAACTCCGGTATTCTGGAGCTGGACGGTAAAGAAGTGTCTGAATTCACGCCGTCCAAACCTCGTGAGAAGTGGCTCCGCAAAAGGACTCATGTTAAAATTAGGGTAAGACCTCTCTTTGTTTTTACACACACTTCCTTCAGAAACTTTTTAAATGTGTATTTAATAATGTCTTTTTTACGCACTCTGGTTTATTCAGCATCCACAATACTTACAAATCACTACACTTAACCTGCTACTTATAGCAGTTATTTCAGTTTTTAGTAGAAGTGTCTCCAGACTTCCTCTCCGGTTGCATACAGCCAGTGATAGATACTTACTTTAAGTAGTTTAAAGGACTTTACCTTGTAATAGAGTATATTGTTGTATTGGGACTTTCACTCAAACATACAATATGTAATTTCTGCTGCTACGAGGTCTCTTACATCAAAACAATAAATGTTATGATGATGTGGTGAAGCAGTGTGGGATCATGATAGTTGTTGTCTTCACCACCATTGCCGGTTAGGATTTCTCCTCCTCTCCAAAACAAAACAAAACAAGACTCGCTGATTTAAGGGGCTAAAAACACTGAATAAAGCAGTTCCACCTTAAAAATCTCTGCTTCTCCCACGCTGTTGG